TGGTGCTGCTCACCTTGAACTCGTCGGTGGTATCTGGGAGGGGAGGGAGGTGGCTCTGCCAGAGCTGCCCTGCCAGGGGACCCCCACCTCCACCAGGACAGGGAGACCCTGAGACGTTGGTCTCGTACCTGAGACTTGGGTCAGCCAGTACCTGCCCATGGCCTTCTCCTGTGTCATCCAGGTGATGGGGACAATCCAGGTGTAGCTGTGCCACGGACAACCAGGCAGTGGGGACCATGCCTCTCTCCTGCCCTAGTCCCCCACACCACCACTGGACCCCCACCCCACTCACTTGAAGACGGAGGGTCTCTCCACCACAGAGTTGGGGTCCAGCAGGAAGTGGCTCTGGCTGACGGAGCCAGTGAGGCTGTTCACGGTCACCACCGGGAAGCCCATCTGCAGCGTCCAGCGGTCCATGATGTTGCTGATGGAGGTTGGCAGGGTGTTGTTGGTCCTGTTGACAGCCTGCGGGGAGGGCAGCACTGCAGGTCACCAGAGCTGGGGCATCTGGTGGGGCCAAGGGCTGAGGGTGTCCCCCCAGCAGCCCCTCAGAGCCCCCAGGGAAGGGGCTGGGTAGGGGGTAGCAGCCAGGATCTGCCAGCCCCCTCCTACCGCTTGCAGATGAACCCAGAGGTCTGCGTAGATGGTGTTGCTGTAGGCGAAGGTGTGGAGGTAGGACTGCAGGAGAGCACCAGAAGAGACCGGTGGGCAGGGCCAGGACATGGAATCACAGAATCACATTAACGTTTGGGTTGGATAATACCTTTAAGACCATCCAGTCACACTATTAACCCAGCATGGCCAAGGCCACCACCCATGTCCCTCAGAAACCCATCTACATGTCTTTGAAATCCCTCCAGGGATGGGGACTCCACCCCTGCCCTGGGCAGCCTGGGCCAGGGCCTGACAATGCTTTGGGGAATAAATTGTTCCCAAGATCCAATCTAAACCTCCCCTGGGCAACTTGAGGCCACTCCCTCTTGTCCTATGGCTTGTTCCTTGGGAAAAGAGCCCCTTCATGCTTCAACCTCCCTTCAGGCAGTTGCAGAGCCAGGTCTCCCCTCAGCCTCCTTTTCTCCAGGCTGAACACCCCCAGTTCCCTCAGCTGCTCCTCAAAGGACTTGTGCTCCAAGGTCGGGGTGCAGGACACTCTCAGAGTACCCTGCCATGGGATGCACCCCCCCACAGTGGGTCTCAGTGCTCCCCAGCATTGACAGAGCTCACCTGCAGCCCGTCCTTGAAGACCGCATCACCAAGGAAGTCAGAGAGCATCCGCAGAACTGAGGCACCCTGTGGAAATGGTGAGTGAGAGGTTCCTCTGGGGGCTGCCTGCTGCCCACCTGCCCCCCAGGACCCCCGAGGCCCACCTTGCTGTAGGCGATGCTGTCAAAGACTTCACTGATCTGGGCCGGGGTGTTGATCTCCTCCTCACGAAAGGAGAGCGGGTGGGAGGTGCTCAGGGCATCTGTCGCCATCACCGGGTACACCTCGTTCAGCACCATCAGGTCCTTCTGCAGGGGCGGGGCCAGCACCTGCCTCAGCTCTGCTGGGGGGCGGCCCCTGGGGGGGCCCCCACCCCTGCCCACACCCACCAGGCTCCCCAGCACTCACGATGTTCCAGGAGGACTCTGCTGAGTTGGCGCCCAGGTACTCCACGTAGGAGGCGAAGCCCTCGTTCAGCCACAGGTCATTCCACCACCGCAGTGTCACCAGGTTCCCAAACCACTGTGGGGGGGACAAAGAACCCATCAGCTGGGCCCAGCCAGCCAGTAGAGCATGCGGGGGGCACGGTGGGTACCTGGTGGGCCAACTCGTGGCTGATGACAGTCACCACCCGCTCCTTGTTGCCGATGGAGGAGTAGGAAGGATCAAAGAGCAGCGAGTTCTCCCGGTAGGTCACCAGCCCCCAGTTCTCCATTGCACCCGCGTTGAAGTCAGGGAGGCCAACCTGGTCTGCGAGACAGAGAGATTCTGTTGGTGTACCACAGCTGGGGGGGGGCAGACTGCCCGGTGTCTCCCCCCAGGCCCCAGGGCACCCACCGGACTTGGGAAGGGGGTACGACGTGTTGTAGTGATCCTCGAAGAACTTGAGGATGCGGCCGGTGACGCTGAGCGCGTACGCGCCCTGGCCCTGACGGATGGCCTCAGGGCGGCCCCAGATGCGGATCTGGAGGGGAGAGAGGCAGGGCTCAGCCCCTGCCCATGCTCTGAACCTCCCAGGTGGGCAGGGGGTCCCTCTATGCCCAGCCTACCAGCACGTTGTTGGAGGAATTCTGCACAAAGCTGAACTGGCTGACGATGAAAGCCAGCAGGTAGGTGGACATCCTGGGGGTGGTGTAGAAGTGGGTGACATTCCAGCTCTGTCCACCTATGTCAATCTTGGACGTGTCTGTAGGAAGCAGAGGGAGGTGGGTCACCCCACATCCCCTGCCTGAGCCCCCCGCTGAGGCTCCCCCCACCCCACTCACCCTTTGTTGGCATGTTGGAAATGGCCTCGTGGTCAGAGGGGTGGATCAGCGTCACTGTGAAGCTGGCCTTCATAGCTGGCTCGTCGAAGCAGGGGAAGGCTTTCCGGGCATCCGCCGCCTGCATCTGCGTGGTGGCCACCACCTTCCTGCAAGCCAGCCCTGTCAGCACGCAGGGGTCTTGGGGGGGTGGGCAGCACCCCTCCGGTCCCTCCGTTCACCCTCCTCCCATCCCCACTGAGGTGGCACGTGGATGCAGGAAGGCACAGAGACTCCCACCCAGACCCATCCCAGTGGGAGAAGAAGCCCAAAGCCATGCCATGCCCTCTGCCAGCCCTGCAGCCCCCCCAGCCCCCTGCCCTTCACCTACTTGGTGCCCGCCCCGTCAACATATTCGCTGCGGTAGAAGCCAGCCAGGTCATCGGCCAGCTCCCCTGTGAAGATGGTGAAGAGTCTGTAACGCTGGTCCTTCTGCAGGAACCCTTTCAGCTGCACCACCAGGTACTGGGTGGGGGTCTCCAGCCAGGTCGCTGAGATGGAGGGCACATCAGAGCCATCCACTGCCTGCAGCGAGGCATGGAAGGACCCCTGCATGGTGTAGTTCAGTTTTTTGCTGTGGATGAGGATGAGGTCAGTGGCCTCCATGCAGATGAAGATCACGCTGCTGTTGCCCTTGAAGATGTACATGCCATTGTCATCAGGGGTCAGGAAGGGCTGCAGGGTCACCTCGTAGGACTCAGGCACCAGCGCGGCCGGCAGCCTCCATCGGTTCCAGGGGTTGTTGGGGGCGGCCGTGGTGGAGGGGGCAGCCGTGGTGGTGCCAGGATCCCCTGCCTTGTTCTTCTCCTGGGAGTACACCACCGAGAGCGCGATGATGGTGGCCACGGCGCCCAGGCCCAGCACGACGGCGGCGATGCCCACGCCCTTGCTGATGAAGAAGCCGGCGGCCATGGCGAGGCTGCGGCAGCGGCACTGGCGGAGGCGGCACTGCCCGCCTGGCACGGCTTTTAGCCTCTTGCTCCCACCAAGTTTATTAGCCCAAGTTAATGGGTGAAGGATTAACGACCATGAGGCTCGGGAGCGGCAATGGCCCCTGGGGCGAGTTTCCTGCCCGCCTGCCTCCCAGCCTTGCTGGAGCACTAACGCCCGGTGCGGCTGTCTCGGGGGGGGATCCCGC